TATGAAGTAGCAACAAAAATAATTTTATGGTTGGGGGTCACCACTACATGAGGAACTATTAAAGGGTCATGGCATCAGAAAGGTTGGGAACCACTGTTCTAGAAGATTCTGCTGAATTCATTTATTTCAGCAGTATGGACTGAGTACCTACTATGTGCCACCTCCTCAAAAGTTTGCACCCAGAAGTTTGAGGAGAGTTTTTTTTTATTTTTTATTTTTATTTTCTTTAAAATATATTTTATTGATTTTGTACAGAGAAGAAGGGAGAGAGATAGAGAGTCAGAAACATCGATGAGAGAGAGTCATCGATCAGCTGCCTCTTGCACACCCCCCACCGGGGATATGCCTGCAACCAAGGTACATGCCCTTGACCGGAATCGAACCCGGAACCCTTCAGTCCCCAAGCCGACGCTCTATCCACTGAGCCAAACCGGTCTCGGCAGGAGAGTTTTTTTTTTATAACCTTGCCATTTCTGAGGCTGACAGTGAGGTGATTCTTCCAGAGAAATTGGCATAAAATTCAGAAGAGCCTCAGGCCATGTCTGGTCTCTTCAGATAAAACGGGCACAATCTTGGGACTTCCAGGGAAAATCAGAAGGTCCTAAATGAAAATAAAGTGGAGGGTGGGTAGCCAAAGGTTTTAGGTCAGGAGACTGCAGGAACCTGTCGGGTGGTTTTTAACCCCAGATGGACATTGGGGTCATCTGAACTGGTCAGATTCCTGCGTTCCGCCCCAGATTACTCTGCTGGTCGTCTGTGTATTTATTTTACAGTCTGTGTATTTCACAATCTGCTTATAATAGTCACACCTGGAAATCACTAGGTATGGCAGGGATTGAGGGAGTATGGCTTCTTATTCAAAATGAAGTCCTCAAAAATCCAGTTTGGAATTTCCAGTTTGAGGACAAAAGGCTGGAAATAGCTAAAGGCTCCTGTCCCTCACCTCACCCCACCCATACCCCTCAAGTTCAGCAGCTCTTTTAGTACCCAGTCAGGTTGGGTTGAAATCCTAGGGGCAAACCCATCGCAGTTCCCCACTACTAATCTTCCTTCTAGAACATGATCATCAAAACGTTTTAAATATATATATATATATTGATTTCAGACAGGAAGGGAGAGGGAGAGAGAGGTTGAAACATCAATGATGAGAATCATTGATCGGCTGCTTCCTTCTCATCCCCCACAGGGGATGTGCCCCCAACCAAAGTACATGCCCTTGACCGGAATTGAACCTGGGGCCTTTCAGTCCGTAGACTGACGCTCCATCCACTGAGCCAAAATGGTTTTGGCTAGTCATGGAATTTTCAACGCACAAGCCCACCCAGCAGAGCGTGCTGTGCTCCCTTCTTTGACTGCAAACAAAACCTCAGGGAGTGAGAGTTGCCTTTGACTAGGTCATTTGGGCCAAGTTCACAAGTTAATTTGGGCCCTGAATAGGTGTGATGTATAAGCTAGTGACATGGCAGTGACAATAATCAAGAGAAGTAACATTTACTGTGGTTTGTTAGAGCCTAATGCTGTTAACAGGCACGCTGGGGAAGCTCCCCTCTTTAAGCAGCTGCTGTGGTACCTGGAGAAAGGCCAATCAGAAACCAGATCTGCCAAATGTCAAGTAGGAGTGAGGGCCGTACAAAGAGCACTGGATAGAGTCAGATGACCCGGGTTCACCAATCTCTAGCAAGGACTCCGTTTCCTGTCTGTAAAGTGGGAAGAATAAGGCATGGTCCAAGGTCATGGTAACAGGAAGCGTGGCCACTAAACTCGGGTGCAGAAGCCTGGGGAGACCCGGAGCCACCTCCATCTTGAACTGCAGTCCTATATGCAATGCTTTAAAAGCCTTTAGCTATTTCAAGCCAAGAGGCCCCAGAGAAGGAGTGGGAGAGTTTGTCGAGGCTTCTTGGAGGCCCCAGTGAGATCCTATGACTGTTCCCCCATCAACTTTCCCTGCCTCGTGCCCCTCCCACGGGCTGCCTCACTGGTATGAGGCAACTTGGCAGAGCCTCAGCAAGGCCTCGCAGAGGGTGCGGCCAGTAGAGCCACTGCCTTGGGGACGGGGGTGGGGGATTAGCCCAGCTCATTCCTGCGTGGGCATCATTGTCCTGCTGGAAGTTCAGGGCCCTACCAGGAATCCAGCTTAGTCAATCCCATTGAGAAACCATTTCTTGAACAACCACTTGTGCCAGGAATGGGCATTCAGAGTAAGGTATGCTAAGATCCTCTAGTCCAGCCGAAACCAGTTTGGCTCAGTGGTAGAGCGCCGGTCTGCGGACTGAAAGGTTCCGGGTTCGATTCCAGTCAAGGGCATGTACCTTGGTTGCGGGCACATCCCTGGTAGAGGGTGTGCAAGAGGCAGCTAGTCGATGTTTCTCTCTCATCGACATTTCTAGCTCTCTATCTCTCTCCCTTCCTTTCTGTAAAATATCAATAAAATATATATATATTTTTTAAATCCTCTAGTCCAGCCTTTCCCCAGACTAGGTGCTGTGGAATCCTAGATGTTAATAAGGGGCCCCTCACATTCAGGGAAACACTGCAAACTGTCTTGTCAGATAGTTTGATGCTTTGAACACAGCCCTTTCCTGCCCCCCACATGCAATGTCCACTTAATGGGGAGCTAAAGGATCCCTTGGGGGTATGACCTTACCATAATTCCAAAAACAACTTCTTTTTCATAAAAATTGATTTTTAAAGGGAGAGGAAGGAAGAGGGAGAGAGAGACATCGATATGAAAGTGAAACATTGAGCCTGCAACCTTCCCAGGCATGTGCTCTGACCGGGAATCGAACCAGCAGTGCACAGGACAACACCCAACCAACTGAGCCACACCAGCCAGGGCCAAATATAGTCTTGAGGGAGTCAGAGAGCTTGCTATGAAAAGTAGGAGAAGATGGAGCTGCCTCTTCAGAGCCCACAGAATTCTCCTGGGCAGAGTTGTTCTCAGCCCTTGCTCTGACGCAGGCACAGTGAGAGTGCCCTTGTCCTGGGAGCCGGGACTGGGCAAAGGGCCTGTCTTCTGTCAGACCACATGCTACACCAGGAAAGGCTCTGAGCCATGTGGGGAAGCCTGGCTGTGTGATCTTGGGTTCGATATTTGATCTCTCTGGGCTCGTGTCTCCCTGGAGACTGGCTCATTGATTGGTCCTCAACACTGATCTTTACCGAAGGTCTTTTTCTCTGTCTAATATTCGTTCCCTACATCAGGCATGGGGAACCTTTTTTCTGTCAAGGGCCATCTGGATATTTTAAAATATATTGATTTTTTACAGAGAGGAAGAGAGAGAGAGAGTAAGAAACATCAATGAGAGAGAAACATAGGTCAGCTGCTCCCTGCACACCACCTACTTGGGATGTGCCCGCAACCAAAGTATATGCCCTTGACAGAATCGAACCTGGGACCCTTCAGTCCACAGGCCGACACTCTATCCACTGAGCCAAACCTGTTTCAGCCCATCTGGATATTTATAACATCATTAGAGGGCCATACAAAAATGATCAAGTTTAAAATTAGCCTGCTGTATTTAGGTAAACTCCCCCCCGCCCCCCGTGTTTACCTTATGTTTTTATCTCGTTTAGACTTTTTCAAGCAATGTAGATCTATCTCAATCTTTCTTCAATGCAATCATGAAATTGCAAAATGAACTCTCCACCGAAAGGGGATGGCAATACTGGGCACACGCCCCCAGAGCTTCTCCCACCCACAGAGATACTGGTCAATGATCATGCCTGCCACATCCCCAGCTGATCCCCTCCCCCCTCCCAACTCCCCCCTCCCCGCCTCGCTCTGAGGGCTGGCACAGACCACACCATCACTTTGCCGATTCTGTGAGTCTCTGAAATCCTTGAATAGAAAGGTTAGAATTAGTAAAAAAAAAAAAAAAAAAATGGTTCCACCAATTATGAACCTGCTTCCTTAAGCTCTGGGTGGCTCCCCTGAGGGACCCAGCTGAGCCAGCAGGGGGACCACAATGGCCAGAGGAACCTCAGGTGCTCACAGCATCAGCACCCTGGGAGAAAGAGAGCTTGGCTCAGTGGATAGAGCCTTGGTCTGCGGACTGAAAGGTCCCTGGTTCGATTCCGGTCAAGGGCATGTACCTTGGTTGCGGGCACATCCCCAGTAGGGGGTGTGCAAGAGGCAGCTGATCGATGATTCTCTCTCATCGATGTTTCTAACTCTCTATCCCTCTCCCTCTCTGTGAAAAATCAATAAAATATATTAAAAAAGAGAGAGAGAGAGAGAGAGAGAGAGAGGGCCTATTTGAGTAAACTTTCAATGAACTCGCCCCCAATGCCTTGGCAGGGCCAGACCAAATGATTTCGTGGGCCTCATGTAGCCCACAGGCCGGACATTCCCCATCCCTGCCTTACGTGCATCCTGGTTACCACATCCCCCAGTTTTATTAAGTTCTGTAAGAAGATTTTTTTGTTTTTTTGTTAAAGTAATTGTGTCCTGGAGAGAAGCTGGGGTGGCCCCTTAACACGACCCACGTGGGGACCTCCACCGTTATCTTAGCAGATGCCTTAGGTCAGAATAGCTCCCAGTCGGTCCTGTGGGGCTGTGGCCTCCTCCTACTCCACATTCTAGGCAGGCTGGGGACACGTGGCCTGCCCCACCCTTGCTGGCTTCAGTTTCTGAATCGTCTTGAACTGGCCTGCTTTCTGGCCCTTCCCATCGGCGGGGAAGCCTGGAGCCTGGGCTGGGGGAAGCCTTGGCTGCTCCCTCCTGGCTCCCCCTGCCCCCAGCCACTAAGGTACCTGCTCTGGGCCCTGGAGCCCTTTAAGACCGACAGCAACACTCTGGAAGATTGCACCCTGGTGCGTGAACAGGTAAGAAGGCAGTCGGTTTTCTCTCGCATGGTTTTCTGTGCCAGATTTCTCCTCCACCCTGATTTAGGTGCTTCTTTCACAGATTACAGCAAGAGGGATCTGAGCTAGACTTGAAGGACAGTCCCAGCCAAGAAGTCCCAGCCAAGTGGGCAGTCAGGGGACCTCTCGGAGCTATGTCTTATAGAGAAATGGTGTGAATTTTCTGCTCCGGGTTTCTTCCTGATTGAACCTTTGCTTTCTTCAGCCTTGCAGGGAAAAACAAACAGACAAACAAACAAAAATAGATCCTAATGACCATAAAGCAAGTTACTTCTCTCCATGTCCCCTTCGGAGGTTAGTACATTGACAAAAACCACATTCTTAAAAGACTGTCATGGGTTACCGGGTGCTGCTTTGTAGATTGCTTTCAGTGTTTAGACCTTAATGTTTTAGATGCCTGCATTTTTACCTTAATGTATTAGGTGCCTGCATGAATTACCTCATCAAAAAAGCAGTGATTTAAAATTCTTTAAAGGAAAGGGAAAAAATAAAGTGGCATAGGTGAGTCTTTCTCATTCAAATGCTATTTTGAAATTAAAATGTTCTGTTTTATAGTTTGCATTTATTTAATTTAATCATTTTTAAAATAAAACTATGATGCAGTCACCAAACCATTTGTAGTTTAATCAAGTTTTCTAAAAATATATGTAGCCGAAACCGGTTTGGCTCAGTGGATAGAGCGTCGGCCTGCGGACTGAAGGGTCCCAGGTTCAATTCTGGTCAAGGGCATGTGCCTTGGTTGCAGGCACATCCCCAGTAGGTGGTGTGCAAGAGACAGCTGATTGATGATTCTCTCTCATTGATATTTCACTATCCCTCTCTCTTCCTCTCTGTAAAAAATCAATAAAATGTATATTTTTAAAAATATATGTATATTTTTAATATACCCAATTGATTTTTTACAGAAAGGAATTGAAAGGGATAGAGAGTTAGAAACATCGATGAGAGAGAAACATGGATCAGCTGCCTCCTGCACACCCTCTACTGGGGATGTGCCTGTAACCAAGGTACATGCCCTTGACCGGAATCGAACCTGGGACTCTTCAGTCCTCAGCCCAACGCTCCATCCACTGAGCCAAACCAGTTAGGACTAAAAAATATTTTTGATTGATTTTTAAAGAGAGAGGGAAAGAGAGAGAGAAACATTGATGTGAGAAAGGGACATCGATTGGCTGCCTCCTGCACATGCGAGCCTCCCCACGCCCCTAGGAATCAAGACTTCAACCGTTCGGTGCATGGGACGATGCCCAGCCAACTGGCTGCATTATTTTAAACGAACACAATAAACCAGTGAACTGTGACTTTGTTAAGTTCCGCGTGGTATCTGCCACCTTAACAATCCTCTGTCACTTGCTTGTAAAGTTGGATTGCTTCTACGTGTTCTGTAACTAATAATCCCACTTCTGTGGACATCTCTGTGAAAATAACTTTCTTTAGTCTTTTAGATCCTCTCCCTCCCCCCTCCCCCTGTGTTTTATTTCCCGTCCAGAATAGATACTGGTGCAACGGGCAAGAACATTTTTGTAGCTCAGCTCATGTTACCCAGGGGGTCAGCTCACTGGTAGGAATAATGAGCCTCATTTCCTAATTTCCAGGACTCTGAAGGCATGCGGGGGGTGGGTAGGGATTGCTTTCTCCTTTAAGGAGGAGGAGAAAGCCATCTAGCAGTGGTTCAGATGATCTCGGAAGGCAGCTGTTCGACCTTGACCTCTTGCCTAATAAGTTCAATTCATTCACATGTAGACTACAGATTAGAAAACTTCTTAGGGGCACCAGGAAGGCAGAGAGCGTGCACAGCACTTAGGAAGCACCTGGAAGGCACTTTCAGGCCTGGGGCGTTCTCTGGGTCATTTCATAAGCTGGGCAGAATGGAGAAGACCATGCCAAGGACATGCTGACCTCTCTCTCATCCAGCCACCTGGTCAGGGTTGTTTGGCTATGTGTGCTAAGCCCCGGTCTGTGCCTAGGCTGGAGGGCTAGGCATTGGGGGATAACAGGTCAGGATGGTCCCTTTCCTAAGGTCCTCCAGACTCGTGCCCTCTCATGGCCATCAGATCTGGATGCCACTCTTTCTGCCTCTCAACCATCTTCCTCAAAGCACAGGCTTACAGGGTGGACCGGGTGGAGAATTCCCCCCAGGTCTGTGGGCACACTTTGTCCCTCACTCACAGATTGCTGGGAGGCCAGGGTAGCGCGAGCCAGGCTGGCCAGGCTGGGTTCTAGTCCTGGTGGCACCAGTTCCCGGCAGTGGGCAGTCAGGGGACCTCTCGGCATCAGTTCCTTATCTGTAACATGGAAAAGTTAACCCCTGCGACGCAGAATCACACAAGATAACGCAGGCCAGGCTGCTGGCACGTAAGGACCCATTGTGGAAGGTCAAGGCCATGTGCTAGAGCCTTTGGGTGAATTAACCATAAAAAATGGGCAGAGCCGAAACCGGTTTGGCTCCGTGGATAGAGCGTCGGTCTACGGACGGAAGGCTCCCAGGTTCGATTCCGGTCAAGGGCATGTACATTGGTTGCGGGCACATCCCCAGCAGGGGATGTGTAAGAGGCAGCTGGTCGATGTTTTTCTCTCATCGATGTTTCTGGCTCTCTATTCCTCTCCCTTCCTCTCTGTAAAATATCAATAAAATATTTATATATATATATGTTTTTAAAGGTGGGCAGAAAACTCATGTATTCATCTTCTCAATCAACATGTATCGGCCTGCGTGGCTGTGGTGCCGGAAACTAAGAAGAGAGCCTCCTGCTCTTGACACGGGCACACAGCCCAGGTCGTGGGAGCAGGGCAGGCTGTGACAGGAAGCCACTTGCATTGGTCACTCTGGGACAGCGCCCTACGTAAGAAGGAAGAACAGGCTTCTAGGCAGAGGGGAGGAGGAAGCAGGCACAGAAAGTGGGGCCGCCCGATGGCGTCTGGGGAAGGGCGTTTGGAGAGTTCAGGAGAGCGGCGGGGCTCGGCGGAGAGCCTGGGAGAGAAAGAGGAGAACCAGCGGAGACCACATTTCACAGAACCTTGAGACGCTGGACTTTATCCCAAAGATGTGGGGGTTTAGGCAGGTTTGGGGATGCCTCTTCTGGCAGCTTTGGGGAGTAAAGGGTGGGGGTGAGGGCCTGGAAGACCTCCTGCCTTCCACCTCATCTCAGAGGCTTTGCAGAAAGTTAGGATTCTCAGGAGCGGCTTGGTGTGAGGGAGCCAGGCCTGGGAGTTGGGGGCCTGGGGTTCTGGGGTTCTGGTCCCAGCAGCCACACACCCCCCCCCCCCCCCGCCCCCCGGAATCGGTGGGCCTCCTCCCTCAGGTGAGTGATTAGGGCAGTTAGGCTTCTTACAACTCTCCTCTGGGAAGCTAGATGTTTCTGGAGGCTGTAGCCCGCCACCCCTCCCCACCCCTCCGCCCCGCCCAGGCAACAGACATTTCTCCGGGGATGGCGGCCCTCCGTGACGCAGCCTCGGGAGGAAGGGTCATTTCTGAATTAGACAGCCTGGCCCTTTGACCTCGAGAGGCTCCATGGAGTTCTGAGAACCGAGCCTGCAGGCCTGTGACCATCCCAGGGGGTTTCTGGCTCCAGCCATCCTGAGTGCCTGAGGGCCATGTCCCACGCTTGGGAGTGGTGTCCCCTCCCGGGAGCAGGGCGGCAGTCAGCCTGGGAACCTACCTCCTGGGCTTTCCAGGCCGCTGGGGGAGGTCTGTCTGTGTATCCCCGCCAGGCCCTCCTCCTCGCCGGTGATCCGGAGGCAGATACGCGGGGATGGGTCTGCAGTGAGCACGGTTGACGTCAAGGTGATGAGTCTGAAAGACAAAGAGACCTTGGCTTTGCTTGGCAGCTCCTGGGAGAGGTGGGACGCTGCCCCAGAGCTTTCTGGGTGCCTGCTGCTGTCAGAGCGTGAGAACACCGCGGACATCCTGGCCCGAGTCCTCCCACCGGGCCCCAGCCCCCACTCTGCCTTTATCACCTCCACATCTCCTTAATCCTCCTTCCCTGGAACCACACCTTTCCCCGGCTTCCTTGTCTTCCTCCTTTCTCAGATCATTCAATGCCCTCGGTCAGCATGTTTAAAAAAAAAAAAAAATCTGCCGTAATTATATATATTAAACACATTTGCATTGCTATGACACAGAGCTCCAGGACTCTTTGTCTTGCAAAACTGAAACTCTGGCCCCATGGAACAATGACTCCCCACTTCCTACCCCTCCTACCTGCTGGCAGCCACCATCCCACTCTGTGTTTCTATGCATTCGACTACTCAGATATTTCCCACAAATGGAATCAGATAGTATGTGTCTTTCTGGGTGTGGCTTGTTAATTCGGCATAAGGCCCTCAAAAGGTACCCATTTCATAAAATTTTATTGCTCTGTAAGGCTAAACAATGCAGGCGTGGGCAAAAGTAGGTTTGCGGTTGTGAATACGTGAAACACAGAGTTTATCCTTGTATCATATACTTCTTCATACGAACAGCTGTAAGCCTGCTTTCGCCCACCTCTGTATTTCATTGTGTCTACACACCATATCTTGAATAATGCTACTATGAACACAGGTGTTCAAATGTCTCTTTAAGACCATGCTTTCAACCATAGCCAGTTTGGCTCAGGGGTAGAGTGTTGGCCTGCGGGCCAAAGGGTCCTGGGTTCGATTTCAGTCAAGGGCAGGTACCTCGGTTGCAGGCTTCTCTCCAGCCTGGGCCCTGGTTGGGGCTCATGCAGGAGGCAGCTAATGGGTGTGTTTCTCTCACCCATACTTCTCTCTTTTTCCGTCTCTTCCACTCTTTCTAAAAATCAATGGGAGCTTTAGCTGGTTTGGCCCAGTGGATAGAGCGTTGGCCTGAGGACTGAAGGGTCCCGGGTTTGATTCCGGTCAAGGGCACATGCCTGGGTTGTGGGCTTGATCCCCAGTGTGGGGCGTGCAGGAGGCAGCCGATCAATGGTTCTCTCTCATCATTGGTGTTTCTATCTCTCTTTCCCTCTCCTTTCCTCTCTAAAATAAAAATAAAAATATATATATATATATATATATATATATATATATATATATATATATATATATATATTTAAAAATCAATGGGAAAATATCCTCAGTGAGGATTTAAAAAATGACCATGCTTTCCATTGGGGGTGAGGGAGGGAGGAAAATACCCAGAAATGGAATTGCTGGATCATATGGGAATTCTGTTTTTAAGTTTTTTTGAGGAGCCTCCCTACTGTTTTTCACAGGTGTTACAATGTTTTACAATCCTACCAACGGTTTACCAGGTTACTCTGACTTTGCCACATCCCTGCCAACACGTGTTAATG